GAGTAACTTATCTATCTATCTATCATGAGGACGGGGCTATGAGCAGCGCAGGGCAGCTTCGTCCCCCAAGCAAACGCAGCACAACTGCAATTCCGCAAAAAGCTGCACCCATTGCCAGTGCACCCTCTTTGCGCACCGCGTACGCATGTCGTGTTTCAGGACATCACAGTGGCACCTCATGCGTCATTTGGGAACGTTTTGATTGGCGGGCTGGCTGTGTGCGCCCTGACGCTACGGCTGCTGCAGCGACCCGACGAGTGCCGAGCGGAGCGCGGTCTAGCCATCGGTGTCGCGCCAAGCAGTTCGCGTCATTCGCGTGATTCGCAAATCAAATGTCAATCACCACGGCAACTTCAGCGGGGCCACGAGCAGGCCGCAAGGCAAGGCCTCGGGGGGTCAACGTGGCACCTGGACCGTCGGCCTGCGTCTGGGGCCAATTCGTGTGTCCATCGTCCAACAACGCCATTCACAAACATTCGCTCTCACAGTCCCCGCAATCTCCGAGCCCCACAGCTCGGCACCCCGTTCAAACTCCCCGGAGATCGAGTCACACGCAGCCCGAGCCATGGCGGAGCCATCAGCCGCGCCCAAGAAGGTCAGCAAGCCCAAGAAGGCGCCGGAGCACCCGCCCTTCAAGCTGATCGTGGTGGAGGCCATAGCGGCGCTCAAGGAGGTGCGGAGGAAGAGGCCGTGCTCAACAACGGCGTGCTGGGGAGCAGCACAGTGCAACCCGGGCCTCTCTGATGCTTGTATGATGTGTATGGGTTATACAGGTGCCCGATAAGAGCGGCTGCGTTGCATGGGGAGCAGTGGACAGGCAGGTGGGTTGAGCGTAACACTCCCCGCTGCCCTCGCCACCGCAGCGGTCCGGCTCCAGTCTTGCAGCGATCAAGAAGTGGGTTGGGGACCACTACAAGGGCAAGCTTGCGCCTGGATGGGAGCGTCAGGTGCTGGCAGCGGCCAAGAAGGGCGCCGTGAAGGGCGAGCTCGTTCAGGTGGGGTTGGCAGTCGGGGGCAGCAGCGAGGCCGATGTTCCGGGCTCCCGTGCGGCCTGCAGCGTGGCTCGTTCGGCATGGCGCGGCTGGCAACGGCATCGTACATGAGTAGAGCATGCCCTGGCAGGGTCAGGGCCACGGGCAGGGCTCCGGCTGGCGACGCCGAGCCTCAGCATGAGCAGCGATCTCTGCCAGGTCCACTTTCCAACCAGTAGCCTATGCCCCCCCTCCCCGCAGGTCAAGGGCAGCTACAAGCTGGGAGAGGCTGCCAAGAAGGCTGCCAAGAAGCCCGCGGCCAAGAAGGTGGGCCGCAGCGGCAGCCGCATCGCCAGCGCCGCAAGGCTGTTGCCGTTAGGGTGGCGCACACACGGGGCGCGGCGCAATGGGCCTCGGGGTAGCCGTGTTGTGGTCATTCGGCCATGCACATGTTTTGCTGTAGCATTGCTCACGTGCAGCGCGACAGCACAAGCACCTTCCCACTTACATCGCATTTGGCCGCTGACCCAACCACCCTGGAACGGCCTCCTGCGTCCTGCCCCGCCGCAGCCCAAGGCCGTCAAGCCCGCGGCAGATGGGGAGGCCAAGCCAAAGAAGGCTGCGCCCAAGAAGAAGGCTACCACCCCCAAGAAGAAGGCGGCGCCCAAGGTGTGAGCAGTGGCCGTGGGGAGCTGTGTTGCTGTTCCCATCTGGCTGTTGCGCCGTGGTCCGCGGCCTCGGCCTCTCTGCATGTACTGGCCGGCACCCAGGGGCGTCTGCGATGCACCCCC